GTTCTCTCGTCCGGATAATTTTTGTTACACCTCTTATCGATTATATGGACACAGGATTATATGGACAACTATGGACAGGAAGGAGTTACTGAAATTTAATAATAAAATTTTCACAGACACACGCGTACCTATTTCAGCTAACCGGCACGAATTCCGGTCAGATAGCCGCGAGTCCCGAGAGGATTAAATAATTCCAAATTCAAGGGTCGCGCTGACCAAGCCGCGCGCTTTCAGGCCGCGTTAAATATCCCCGAAATTAATTAATAATTTAATTCGCGGTGACGGCCGGGGGGGATCGACCAGGATCGGCCAGGAGGGGGAGGTTTCGATTTTCAAACGACGACGGTGGCGGCGGCCGTCGTCGCCGAGAGAGTGCGACAGGCGTACTTTAATTAACTCGGTGGACGTTAATTTCGCTTAACTCTCGCCGGAACACGCCGGACTTCGTTTAAGGCACATAGCCGTCGCTATTGATACGCGCATATCCGCGGCCGGCACTTCACGGAGCTCTCTACGTGTCGATGTGTGAGCGGCGCGCCCGCGGCCGCAAAACACGAAGGCGGTGCCCGTCGCGCCGCGTCGCGCATAGAACGGCATCAATTGTTGGAAATGCGGGACACTATCGCGACGAGGCATCGTGATTATTCCTTGACAGCCACTGTGCCACACCGCGCACACGGCCCCGTGTATGTTTCAAGCTTCGCATGAACGTACGTACGCGTATACATACGTCACGTCATCACCGCCTGCCTGCCTACCAGTCTGCCTGGTCTGGTTGGCTGGTCGAGGGAGAAGGCCCTTCGAAAGTGACGGCAAGAAAATCGTGTAGGTATCTCTTTTTCATCGGTATACAGAAGATGGAACGCCAAATGTTGGGCGCGATTTTACGCAGTCTCAGTCTTTTACGAAATTCTATCCAAAGTGCGATTTTGGGTACAAATTAGTTCGCAATTGAAATTCGCTTAATCCGTTTGTTCAAATGTATGTTCTTTCTTTAACGACGTGTTTCTCGGATTTTTTTAACAAAATACAAACAATTATATTAGAGCTGAATAATTTTGTTGGATCATTAAAATGATTACTGGGACACTCAAATTGATTGGTACGATGTCAAAACTTTTTGCAATAATGCTCACCATAATTATTTTAAAAGATTATTTCAAAAGTTAATTCAATAAAAAGTAGATATACATTTTTTAAATAATTAAGGTAAAATGAGAAAAATCTTCAATTAAACTAAAATTGTATTGTTAAATATAAATATTGACTTTATTAAACTACTTATACATTTATTTTATTTTTGTACAAGAAAGTATAAATTTCCAATTCCAGTCTAATTTTTTGCAGAGATACTATACACCTGATTCGTATCCTTAATTCGTGTTCGTTTATCTATTTTTGAAAAAAGTCCGTTTATTTTAAATACTCTCTGAATGTTTCTTCAAGTATTACGTATTCACGTGATGTGAATTAATCGTTTGCGTGTATAACAAATTTTTACCTTTTCTTTTTCTGCAAAATGCGACCGAAAGAAATATTCCAAAAATTATTTACGACATGTTTAACGATAATCCAGCACATGTTCGGTAGTATATTGGTGAACGATAAACAGTTCCCTGTGGTAAATGGGCTACCACGTTTTCTTCCCACGCGATGTTTCTTACCCAACACGGCGCGATCAATAACGTGACTCTACTGAGGTAGAGTGTATCGATTGCCGGAGTAACAATTATTGCTAGCCAATACTTTCACGTGGTACACAGTCGAAATTAGCACACAGTGGCTTCTGCGAGTACATATACCTTGGCATCTGAATCTGAATGTGGATCTTTTATAGAAATGAATAGATTAATTCGCCAGCGAGACATTGAATCAATAGAATATCCTACTATCTTTACTATATATATATATATAATACATAGACACATCGTATATGTAAAATATAATATTAAAACCATTAGGTAATATTTAACATAATTTTATTAAATCCCATTCCTCGCATATTTTATACATTTTTTAAAAATCTCGTTTTATTCGCAAACTTCAGAAATGTATAAATCCAATACATATATATATATCGTTCTAATAAGTAACTGCATTATACCTTGTCAGTTACATTTCGTCGATTGTTAAAAGTTAAATTACAATTTTTTTACCCATCGATAATTGAACAAAATGATAATGCATTGTATAAAGCTTTGATCCCGTTCAATGATAAGATTCAACAATGAGCTCAGCATCCTGAATGTAAAGTGCAAAAATATCAAAAGCAACAATTATTCATTATAATTAAATCCCGGGAATTGCATGAACAACTGCATTATTAATCAAGTATAATTGCTGTAAACGAGCGGGATTTGTAAAATAACTAAATAATAATATGAAACGCGATAAGTGAAGCTAAAAAATAATTCGTGTCAAAAGATCTTGATGTATGCAGAATGTATACAGATTTTTGTTTCTTCGCAGGAGACCAAGAGGCCGTCGAAGGAGATGCAGGTGACAATCGCGAGGCAATTGGGCCTGGAACCGACGACGGTTGGGAACTTCTTCATGAACGCCCGACGCCGTTCCCAGGACAAATGGAAGGACGAGGATCCGAAGGCGGTCGCGGTCGAGGAGGAACAGTTGTCGCCCACGATAGGGATCGGCCAGCGCCAACCGAGCGACGTTTTGTGACACACGTCCGACCACGAGGAGTACCACGACGAGTCACCCGACGAGGAGCTGCCCTTCTCGTAAGGGCGGCGTATTACCTCGTGGACGTATCCCTGCTGACACGCTCGAGCCTTATAAACGACCTCTCCGCGCGACACGCCTTGCAAATTTTATCCTGGTCTTCATAAGTCATGTCTATCTCTCTAATATTTCGGAGATATCGCTGATTAATTGGCTATTTAAAACTAACTCAACGAATATCTCCAGAATTATCTTATTTATTCGATGAATAAATAAACGAGAGACTTTATTAAGCTTTTTGATATTTAGCCGTTGATAGACAATCAGCTTGGAGCTCAAAATCAAATTTAAACTCGAAGAAAATTTTAAATATTTAGACGTCCTTCAAAAATACCTGAGAAAATATATTATAATTTTTGACGTTCGGCCATTGATAAATAATCCACTTGAAGCAAAGTGAGATTTTACACTCGGAGAATTTTTAATATTTGCTCATACAGATTTCCAAAGGACGTCCTAAAGAATGTTCAGAGAATGTTCTGAGAACGTTTCTAGAACGACTCTTAAATAAAGTATGCTGTATGAATATACATCCTTCGCAAATATCTGAAAGATAATTTTGGCCATTGATAAACAATCAACTTGGAGCAAAGCCAAATATAAACTCGAAAAATTTTAAATATTCTATACAGCACAGATCTCCGAAGGACGTCTTAAAGACGTTCAGAGAATGTTCTCGGAATGTTCTCAAAATGTTTCTCGAATAAAATACACTGTGTGTTTTAGTCATTGATAAACAATCCACTTGGAACAACGCAAAATTTCAACACTCGAAGTATTTTAAATATTTATATACAGCACAGATCTTTAAAGGATCATCAAAGGACATCTTAAGGACGTTCAGAGAATGTTCTCAAAACGTCTCTCGAATAAAGTGTGCTGCGTGAGTAGACGTCCTTTGCAAACACCTGAGATTAATTTACGTGCAGAAATTAGAAAAAATCGAATTGCAATATCATCGTTTCATGTAAATGCTGAGCGTGTCGACGATTGTCTTTTAAGATCGAGCTGTGTCAAAGCAGGAGCGTCCTAACCGCTGAATGCGATCGATCATTACGAATCCCGCAAAGCGATCCGAATCAGATCCATCAAAGTACGATCTTACGTTTCTGTTTTCTTTTTATTATTTTTTTTTTGTTTTTTTCTTTAGGCTAGTGAATTCCCGAGTATTTATGATCGACAGATCGTTTCACGTTAAAGCTCTTAAATCGACGTTCGAAGTCGAGAAACGAGACGAGTCGATGTCCGAGTAAACGAGCTGGAGGATATCGATTACATGCAATAATTTCTACTTAATTTTTCACACGAGAGTTCTCCGTATTTATATATGTATTATTCTCACACACACACACACACACACACACACACACACACACAATTTGTCTCTCACGTTAAGCGGGCCGTCTCTCTCGACGACGAGCTCTGTTGGACTTAGTTTTAAGACTCGCATTTTAACGACTCGTCGCGTATCTCGACTTCGGTCACTTTGCAAACTTCGTGCCATAGTTTGCCATATTAGCGTAAGTTAATCCGTTAAACTCGGCGCTTCGTGCCTGATTCTTAGCGTTCTAGTCCACTGTAATAAGTTCCAAGAGGGACTGCCTGCCCCGTCAGACTGGGGACCAGAGGTGGTTCCTCATCTCTAGTCAAAATTCAGAAGCTCGAATTCTGAATCCACCCCTCAGCGCCGGAAGTGCGAGGGGTGGTCGAAAGCGCCCGTGTTGTTTTTCTTTATTTTCTTCTTCCTTTCGCGCAGGTCGCGCGCGGCTGAAGTCGAGTTTATTCGCCGCCCCCGAAACGGGGGGCGTTTAGTCTAGCCTGTTACCTTGTTTTTCTTGTTCTTTTTTATGTAAGAGTAGAAATCGGTCGCTGCTTTAAGTGGGATATCGCGAGGGCGAACGTCGAGTAAAACTGCACGAAAGGGCGCTCTGACAATCGGAGGCGAGTAAATACTTAGAAAAGCTCGTTTTCCACTTTTTCTTAATCCTCGAGACTATGCCCTGCCCTTTACTTTACCGCATCGGTAAAGCGCGAAAGTTCGAAGGGTCTCCGAATGCCCGATCGAGATACGTCACGAGCTAAAGCAGCGACTTGGTGATCGCACCAGCGATTGAATCCTACTGCGTGCGTTAACGCTTTTGTTCGAGATTAAGTGCATTTTATTTCGTTCACTGGTTCATAAATGACTGGCGATTTCCGATACTACACGGGGGTGTACTTAAAGTCGCGGCGCTTCCTCTCGCGGATTTCTCGAGACGCACTCGAGCTCGCCTCTTCTTCAGTTTCAAGTAGAACACATCAAAATAACATCGAAAGGGACTATTAAAACACTTTTCAAATTCACTTTTCAATCAGTCTGCTTGACATGAAAATGACGTCGCAATGACTTCAAAATGACCACTAAAAATCACTTTTCAGTAACAATTCATTTTAACGTCATTTTGACATCATCGTGGCTTATTGTTCTGCTTAGTGGTTCGAATCGAAACCTTCAACATCGGACATATTATCGATAATTCAATTTCAAATTGTAAAACCATATTTCTATCTCAGTTTAATAGAGATGGACCGAGCGCGATCAAGAGGAAGAACGCGACTTTCTTACGCACTCCGCGCGCATGTATCGTTAAAAACAAAACAAAAAAAAAAACAAACCGAAAAATCCTTCCCCTCGAAGGATCGAACAGCATTTTTTCCACGAGTAAACGGTTAGCGGTAAGGTTCGATGATGATCGCGCAATCAGCGGCGCGCTAAATGCGCGACCGGGCTCGTCGTGTCCTCGTTGGTCAGACGAAACGTGAACCAATTTTCAAAGTGGCTTCGTGTGAGGGTACACGTGCCAAGTGATATATATATGTATGTATAAACATGTATATCAGAGAGTGGACACTCTTTTGTGCGAACCGATGGCGGGAGGGAGGTTTAGTGGGGAAAGGAAAGAACAGAGGGATAGATAGAAAGAGAGAGAGAGAGAGAGAGAGAGAGAGAGCAATTTTTAAAATGGGTGGCTGCACCGCTGTGTACGAGAGACAGAGACAGAAAGAATGAGGGAGAGCCTGTGAGAAAGAGAGAGAAAGAAAGAGCGAGAGAAAGAGCGAGAGAGAGAGAGAGAGAGAGAGAGACTTTAGCGAGCCGCACTCGATATCGTACTGCAATTGTGCTGTGCTATTGTACATACTTAAAAAAAAAAAAGAAGAAAAATAACACACACGTACGTATGCAGATAGACATACAGACACGTACACACTTTTATTACGTAAGCGGCGGGGCGGCGTTCGCTAAGCCGGGCGAGAACGAATCGGTGTGACGTTTGATTGCAGAAAAGTGCATTCTAGCCGACTTGCACTTCGCGTCTGTGGCTCCTGCGTAGCGAGAATTCTTTTGTGCTTTAACACATAACATACACACATACACACATACACGCACACATAAACACACGTACACGTACATCGACACGACGACGCGTCGCGAGATAGATCGGTTCTACAAGATTTCGTTGGAACGACATTTTATATCATGCTCTTCTACTTTTTTGTGCGATCGAGAGAGGATCATTTATGCTAGTCGGATTAATCATACAGAATGAACACTGGGATTCAATCAGGAATTGACAAAGCGGTCCAGGAGTATCGAGGGACGAACTGATTACGAAAATAAATTTACTACATGTGCTTTATCGATTCCATGATGATTAAAAGTTTTTTTTATTATTTCTTCGGATGCATGTAATCCAAGAAAGATCGTAGAAAAAACTTGTACCATTGAGAAAAAAGAATGGAAGAAATATAGGTGAGTGACTGCCAAAAGTGGCTGCCACTTTACAGTTGATGAATAATTTTATCACATTGCTCCGATAAAAATTGTATTCTTTACGAATAAAAATCTAAATACGCGAGTATTTAATATATTCTAGTATTTAAAATATCGTGTTCTTAAATTGATCTTAAAACAAGAATTAACAAGAATTTTGTTAACTTATATAAACTGAAAAACAAGTGAAAACTCGTAAGATTACATTTGCCGAAAACTTTTGGCAGCCATTATATTTTGATTATTTTTCGTTCAAACAGAAGGAAAACAAATACATAAAATGTATGCATTCGCAACGACAAATTAATCGACAAATTAATTGTTTTTTCAAAAACTCGACGAACTCTCGATACCCTTCGATCGGTTTTCTCCGAGAAGCACGAAAAATCGCTCGATCGCCGTCGTGCGAGTTCATAGGATGTGCGATCATTAGTCTCGCGAATGGAACATCTCCTTCTTGCACGCGAACGTTCGTTCGATGTTCGTTCGACGAAGTTACCTACAACATGTTACTTAATTTATTATATTTTAGGATAGAACGGATGCGTTTGGAAATAGCTTTCGAAAGCTACAGCAGTTACGTCATCGAGAGAGAGAGAGAGAGAGAGAGAGAGAGAGTGTGTGTGTGTAATTTATTGTGTAATATTTTGTAAAGTTATATCGAATCCCCTTAGTGTGCATGGCGACTCGAGGTATGTTACCGCTTTCGTGCAACAGCAGCAACAACAGCAACAATCTCCTCTCTAAGGAATCCGAGTTACACACCGATACACGTTTCCCCCTTTAACGTTGCACGTTAATTAGCATCTCGACGCTACTCTGATTATTTATTATTAATTTATCACATACGACGTCTCAAATAAAACAGTCATTCAAAGCGAGCATCACAATTCTGAGACTTGTTTGGAGACTTGCTTGGAGTGCTTCGTGCTTTGGATTTGAAAAACCCAAATGGCGAATCGGCAGTCGGCTCGACGCGGCAAAGGAAAGGCTCGCATCCACCCTCGAAAGGAGCCTGTGTTGATTCCTGATCAACGCGAAGGGATGCGAGCGTCCCTTCCGACGCGAAGAATTAATCCACGGTACCAAGAGAGACGCGAGCGGCCTCCTCGGTCGTCGGTTTAAGATCATATATAGTACAAAGTAAATATATATATATTATTGTAATAACAGTGTTTAATTATAAATAAGATAATATATATATATATAAGAGGAAGTGCGCGCGCGCGCTCGCATCGCGCTGTTTTTCGAGGGAAAATGTTCAAAGGACTCTGTGTTAAACCGTGGAATGGAAAGATAGAGAGAGAAAAACGCGGGATCAACGATGGCATCGAGTTCTCTCTTGTGAGAAACTTCAATCCTCGTTGAAGACGATTCGGTTGGGGATGATTCACATTGTCAGGCGCGACAAACGCGACAAGGTGCGAGAATTCCGACAGAATTTACATCTCGCGGTCAAGAGCGAGACGCGTCTTTCGTGTTCCTTCCACCATTCCGGCAATTCAGTGTATTCGTGATCAATGAGTCAATTGACGGAAGTAATCCAGTAGACACTGACTAAAAGTAACCTGTGGCACTTTTTATCTGAGGGATGTCCTATAGATGTTTTGGGAACATCCCAAGGGAATGTCTTTAGGACGTTCTCTGGATGTGCTTTTAAGATTTTCAACGAATATTTTTTTATACAGAAGCTATGCATTTTGCAGATTATCTTCGTTTCTAGATTCATTATTGGGATATTAAAATTTCGTGAATATTACAGTTCACTTCATCGGGACGAAATATAAGAACCAGCAATATCAATGTTATAATTTTACACTCAACAATGCAACTGATATGTAACGCAAGTGTTACATTATATTTACATTATTGAGTGTGAAATTAACATTAATATTGCCATACAATACTAATCTTCTAAAGATATCCAGGGAACATCCTAGAAACATTCCCAGAATATTATGTTACTTTTAATCGGTCTCTATTGGGTTGATAGGAGTAATCGGCTATAATTTAATCTTGCAATTTGGACGGAAGTGCGCGGATGTTGATATCTTAATGTATTTAAGTACTTTTAGAAAATTACTGCGAGAATTTTTATATTTATTTTATTACGATTTTTGTATAATTCCTACGAAATGTTTTGATTGTTCAAAAAGAAAATTACGATTGTTGATTTGTTGCCGAAACGGGAGGAACTATAGCTTCATCCGCGATGAAGATGAAGGTCGGAACTCGTTATTTAGTCTTGAGGACACGCATGCGAGAGAGAGAGAGAGAGAGAGAGAGAGAGAGAGAAGCACACACACGAGAGGAATGCACATACATGGTGGACAGGATCGACGGTGTACGATAAGAGTGTAAATACAATTTTAGTCGCGAGAGAAAGATTCATTATCGCTACAATTACTGCATTACGATGATTACTAATTGCTGCGTGATGGCAGACGTACGAGGTGTTTTTGTTATACAAGAGAAGAGATAAGATGCAACATGAGATGCCGTACAGTTGAAGAAGAGACAGGAAACGTACACACCGTAGAAGACAAAAGTGAAACAGAGAGAAGCCAGAGAAAGAAAGAGAGAGCGTAGAATATACATATATATATAAATATACATAAATTGATATACGATATAAATAAACATAAATGCAAATATAAATATAAATACAGATATAAATATAATATAAATGCAAATATGAATATAAATATGGACATAAGTATATAAATAAATTATATATTATATATATATATATATATACATATATATATAAAAAATACGGATATTATTACCGCCGATCACGGCGGACGGTGGTGATCGTCGCGGAGGCGATTATTGAGCGATCTCCTTT